AGAGAAGTCAGAGCGAATTCATCACCTCCGGCCGGTTCTGCTGGGTCAGCTTTGAGCATTTCCTTCTCCACAAGCTTTGTAAAAGTGCTGCTTGGATGCTTATTCATTCGTGTGTGTTTTACAATCAAGGGAACCATTTTTAAAGGCGTTGCAACATTACTGGAAGTCTAGCACAGAAGTATTACGGTGAGCTTTTAAGTTCTAGCCAGTCAGCACTGCCCACAGCCAGTTCTGCTGTAAACTTGCAGAACCAGGTGGTGACCTTTTCTTTCTTTTGGAATCTGTCACTGGAGAGGAAAAGGTATGTTTGTGCTAATCATGGTAGAGCAGGGGGCACTCATCCTCCAAAGCTCTACAGCCATTTGCCACTCTTCATCCTAGGTTTACGTTCTGTTGTGACTCAGCTTCCAAGGAAGTCTTATTAAAATGGCAGCCTCAGTTTTGCATCCGTAAAATGGGGGCAACCTCACAGGAGCATTCTGGAATTCAGTAAAATAAGAGCAGGAAGAGATATCCAAAAGTACCTGTGAGGTGATGATATGCGGCGTTAAGCCAAACCTGGCAGAGCTGACAGAGGTTCCAGAGCTTTCAAACAATATCTGTACATGAGATTTAGAGATTGTGGCTTTTCATTAAAGATGGTTGTTTTGCAAAGACAAAGGCCATGAAAAAGCTTTTATCCGTTGATTTCTGTCTGCTTATTTGTTAAAGGGCGGGTGGTGTGTGTTTGTGTGTGTGGAATTGGCATAAATAGTGGTGTGAGCAGTGCTGGAGAAACACTTCAGCTGTTTTATGTCTCGACAATAGTTTTAAACAATAACATTCATATCACAGAACGGTGCAGATAATATCGGCTATAAAACCGGGTCTTTTATGTTCAAATTCAGACAAAGCCAAGAGAGGGGTTTGATAAATGAACCATCGCTGTCTCTTTCTCTCCCTCCCTCCCTATCTCTCCGCAGTAATGTTATGAAGGGGCTCCCTCTAGCTTAAGGTGCTGACCTTGTGCATGTCTTTCCCTGAGGTTGAGTGTCCTTTTTTAGGAGGAGAAAGGGGTTTTCAATAATTGCATGCATTTCCCCCCTTTATTTTGTTTTATTAAAAAAAAAAGGTTTTTTGAATGGCGCTTCTCAGCTCACTGATCACTAACAAATCTTACAGTGCTTTTTTTAGAGTAACCACAAGTATTGGAGAAAACATCCCTCCACAACACAGAATATGGCTGAGCTTATTCATATCTTCTGGATCACAGATCTTCCATTACAGTAATAGCTATAGAAGTATAATCAGACTTCTTGCATTCATACAGCACCGGAGGCCCAAACGATACTGTCCTTGAGCTTGTACAAAGATCCCATTTCAAATGTCCATCTTTCCAGAACAGATATATTTCTAGGTCTCTGATCACAAGAGGTACAAGCTGACAACCACGTTCTCCTATTCTTCTTTTTATTCTTTTTAATTTGAAACAGATGAGCCCTCTCTTCTAAATTGTAAATAATAGCTGGAGATATTTAAAAAAATAAAAAAATAAAAAATAAAACAAACATGGCTTAATAGTGCTTTATTGATATGCCATCTTGCAGAAATGCTAATTTCCCCCCCAGAGATTAAGGAGACGTTTTCGGGAGAGTAATATCCCCAAATCTATTTAAATAAACTGAGAGATGATAAGCAGTCCAACCGCTAGAGGAGAAGCGTTAATTAAAAATCTCCAAGGTAACTTACATTCTTTGTTAACAAAATACAAATGTCAGGGGATGGATACAGTACCTGTAAACTGACCAATCCACAGCTGTCTTTCCTTGCAGAAAGAACTAAAACTAATTTATAGTGCCGTGGTTCTAAATATTCCATCTTATAAATGCATTGATGAATTCTGTCCTCACCCCACCCATCATTTCATTTTATAAATGCCAGCCTCTGTGTTTCCATTTTATCTTTACAGTCACCCAGATCCTTTCATTTTTCCTGCTAGTACAATTAAAAGGAAGTTTATTTATACAAATATTTAAAATTAACAACCTAAACCACCTCAGTGCAGAGTTCTAGGGAAGTGGGGCGGGGGAGAGAGAGAGAGAGAGAGAGAGAGAGAGAGAGAGAGACATAGAAAATTCCACAAGGAGAGGGAAAGAGCAAAATTAACTATTTATGAAATTTGGGCTGATAAATTTATAAACCTGTAGCAAATAGAGCCGATAAAAAATCTTTAGGGATGAAAAATGTGACTAGTGCCATTTCATTAATGAACTATTTTCTAGTGAATTTCATCGGGAAGAGCCTTAAGGGTGACCATGGATTTTTTTGTGGGGGTTTTTTAGTCATTGTTAAGCTTATTGTTCAAGGGTTAAACAGAGAATCTTTGAAGACCATCCTTTGGTATCATCAGTTATATGTTTCAAGTTAGGGACATAAGAATTGTCTGATGCACACAAGGAGCCCTCTCATCTGTTTCAAAACAACATTGGGTCAAATGATGCAATGCACAGCTCTAGCGACCCAACCTCTTATTAAATGTACTAATTAGTATCAATTAATTAATCACATTTTACCTGGCATGGGACTTTTTAAAGGTTGCACGGCATATTTACACCCAGTTCTATTTTTAATTTTTAATTTATCTACTGATATTAATAACATGGTATAGGCTGGTCTTACATTCTCAGCTTCTGTGGGTAAAAAAAAAAAGGTAAATATAAGGTAGTAAATACACTGTTTTTCTGATCATCTTAGCAAATTATACTTAAATGTATTTCAGACACAGATTTTTCTAGCTGCTAAGGATGGAGGAGTGAGGAAAATTCCATTCAGTCTGCATTTAAAGGCAAGCTTACCTATTTACATTACATTTTATGAAACCATACTCAAACTGAAACACAAAATTCACACTTCTCCCAATTTTGCAGTTTTTCATGCACATATTTTGCAGTTTTCCATGCACATACTAAATCTGCATGTTTAAATGAAAAGAACACACAAAAATGCATTAAATGAGTTGCAAAATTGCATATATGAGGCATAATTGCATACAAAAATGTGTTTATTAGGGGAAATGCACACGAATTGGTACTACTGCTATTACCTACACTTGGAACTCCCTGCCTATTGACATCACGGAGGCACCTTCACCGTACTCATTTTGGTGCCTGCTAAAAACATGTTTTGTTTAGATTAGTCTACCCAGACATGTAGAATGCTGATAGATGTTTTGATATGTCTTCAGGGTATTGCTGATTTTATTTTTTAATGTTTTAAGTAGTTGTTTTAAACTTTTTAAATATAATTTTGTTTTTTATCCTTTGTAAACTGCTTTGAGGGGTTTGTTTGTTTTACAATCAAGCAGTATATAAATTTTATGGAATAAATAACTAATAACAAAAAGCTGCTGAACCTTTATGAGGACTTTAAAAATACTCGCAAATGGATGCAGAAAGAGGACTGAATTTAAGACTGGAAAAATGAAAAACATGGCAAAACCAAAAGTGACAGCTCTGCCTATCCCTACCACAGCCCAACCCCACTTATGTTTACTCATAAGTAAGTCCTGTGGATTTCAATGGAAGTTATTTCCTGTTAAGTATGCTTAGGGTTGCAACCTTACAGAATAATCCTAGGCAAGTCTACTCAGACATCACCCGCACTGAATTAAATGAGTTTTACTTTATATGAGTTTGAGATTAGGGTGCACAGGATTGTGGCTAAACAGATAAGAGACGGATGTTGGAGCCTTGAAGAAACCAAATCAAGGGCTTTAAGTTATCCATCGGCTGCAACAGATGACTTGTCCTTTGCAACAAGGGCACAGGTAGGTATTTTATCTTATCCTCGTGGGTGAGAAAAGGCAGAGCGTCACATCATCAAAAGCCAGTTTGATTTATTGCACGAAATGTATATTAAAAAAAACCCAACACAAGCGTGTCTCTTGAATAATCAATTGCCACGGTCTCTTTGCTGTTGACACAGAAGCTGATTCTATCAAACATCCCTGAAGCAGCAGCAGCAGTCTGTTTTCCACAGCAGAATGCTGAGAGGAGGAAGAATGAACCGAAAGAAGGAGAGAAAGAAAAATGTGCTCCTATTTTCACGTGTCATATTTTGGTCTACAAACCTCCAAAAAAATATATGGCAGTTGGTGGAATATTATGTAATTCCAATTTCCAAAACCTATCCCAGATAGAAAGGGACAATTTTTGCAGGTAAGCACAAATGTTAAAAACAGAGGGGCGGGGGGAACACACAAAGAAACAAGCGTCAAAATTTATTTCTATTGCTGCCTCAAAGCAATCTGAACCAGAAACAAATATAGTCACTCTCATTAGCAAAGGCTTCCTGAGCCTGTTTTCATAAAATATGGTAATAGCCACATCTCCCCCCACCGCCGCCTGTTAAACAAAATAAAATGATTACTAAGGATTTACTTGCTTGTCATTTTCATTCCTTTACCACTAACCTTTTCTTTAGCAGTTATCTTAATTATAGCAAGGCCTGGCTCAATATATCCCCTTCCTTTTCTAGGATTTAACACAGGAAAAATAACTTTATTTCAAACAATAATGATTTTCTACTTACATAAATAATTCAGTCTTTCAGTTTAAACACACACACAAAGCCTTCAACGTAAAAGAATGGAGACTGGAACAATATACGCTAAGCCACTCTCTGACAGCATAATGCAGGCAGCGTTGGGGGTCAATCATAAGCATAATTTGTAATATATGTTTGAGGTATAAATAATTCTCCCCGTAATAAAAAGCAGTTTTGCTCAGATTAGGATCCAATTCATTTTCACATCAATATATAGATATATATAGTTGCCATGGTTATTGAGCTTTTGTTAGGAAGACCCCAAAAATTTTGAGCTTTCTTGAGGAACCACCCCCATAGTGATTTTAATCTTTTGGAGCTGTTTCCGCTGCTTTTTCCAGCGCCTTGTCATACATCCAGGTTTTCCATGACATTTTGTCAATTTGGCAAAATTCCCCCTGATGCCATTTTTATACCTGAAAACTAGGACATGCCAGGAATTTTCCTGATGTATGGCAAGCACACACACACACACACACACACGAACAAATTGTAAAAAAACAAAACCATTTTAATGTAATGTATTTGAATTGCATAATACCAATCAGACACTTAATCTTCTTAATCTTCTTTTTCATTATATTCAACTGGACTGTATTTTATATTTTAAATATCCATTCAGCAACCACATCCCTTTCTCTTAGAGAATCTAGATGCCCCTATGAACGGCAGCTTGTTTTGAGTGAAAGCGATGTGGTTATTACTTTGTTATAAAGCGTCGTCTTGACAAGGCAGCTCTCTTTTAATATATACCATCAGCATAAAGCTGCAATTCTCTGGCTTGCAACGGAGGTGGGTTTTTATCACAACAAGCCTGCCATTCGTCTGATTGAAAAGGCTACGGAGAAATGCAAATATGATTTATTTATCCCTGTCAAGAACTCGGCTTCACCGAAATGGGCTTGCAGGAGCTCTTTGATAGCGAGAGGAGGCCCAAGAGTTGAAGACCAAGTGTCAAAATAAAGGGCTCATTCCAAAAATTGAGTTATCCAACAATCCCTGCTTGTCCTTTTCCAGTGGTTGCTGGGCTCCATTGGGACTGGTAGGCCAGAAGACAAAGAGACCAGCAGTAGGTGGTGGCAGAGCCAATGACAGACAGAGCCAAGTCAGTCTAGTTTTGTCCCCATCTTCTTCCCTGCAGAGTTCTATGAGGACAACACTGAGATGAAGGAGGAGGGAGAAACTGGCAGTCAGGGCCACTGCCTGAGAACGTTGTAAGAAGGCAGCAGGCTGGGACTGGCCCAGGCCAGAATGAGGCTGGTGGGTCAGTGCCCAATTCTAACTAATGGACAAGCCTTCTCTGCAGAGGCGTAGCAAAGTCAGGTGGTACCAGGTGTGGAATATTTTTTGTCGACCCCCCCCAATATCAACTGCTTGGGGTAGGCTTGGGAGTTGCGGGTGGGCGGTGCGCCGAATGTCAACCCCCTCAGCGATGACCACCCAGGGTGGTCCGCACTCCCTCCCCACACCCCCTTCCTACGCCTCTGCTTCTCTGTTCTCTTCAACCCTAACTCTTTCACATAACCCCATCATTGAGATGTTTACCCCATCTCAAAAAAATAGATGAATGTTATTGAGTTGGAAAGAGCACTTTTCTACAAAAACACAGGGTGGTCTTAATGGTTCTCCTCCTCCTCCACCACCACCACCTCCATTTTATCCAAATAACCCGGAAAGATAAGCTAGGCTGAGAAACAGCAATTGGTCCCAGGTAACCCAGTGAGTGAAGGGACGCGGGTGGCGCTGTGGGTAAAACCTCAGTGCCTAGGACTTGCCGATCGCATGGTCGGCGGTTCGAATCCCCGCGGCGGGGTGAGCTCCTGTCTTTCGGTCCCAGCTCCTGCCCACCTAGCAGTTTGAAAGCACCCCTAAGTGCAAGTAGATAAATAGGTATCACTTTATAGCGGGAAGGTAAACGGCCTTTCCGTGTGCTGCGCTGGTGCTGGCTCGCCAGAGCAGCTTCGTCACGCTGGCCACGTGACCCGGAAGTGTCTCCGGACAGCGCTGGCCCCCGGCCTCTTAAGTGAGATGGGCGCACAACCCTAGAGTCGGACACGACTGGCCTGTACGGGCAGGGGTAGCTTTACCTTTACCTTTAACCCAGTGAGTGAGCTTCATGGCTGAGTAGGAATTTGACATCCAGTCTCCAGGGGTGGCTGGTGCTCTTTAGGAGTGATAAGACAGAAAGCTGAGAGGTCAACAGGAGGTAGTGCCAGAGCTAATGACAGGCAGAGCCAACCAATTCTAGTTTTGTCCCCATTCTCCTCCTCCCTGCTGAGTTCTACAAGGATCCACACTGAAATTAAGGAGTAAGCTAACAAGCAGTGTCATCCCCTAGGCAGTCAGGTGGGGTCTGGCTGAGGGCAGACTGAAGTCAGTGGGGCAGTGTCCTATTTGCTCTAATGGGGTAGCCCATCCTACTAGTCTCCAGGGTCCTAGTCCAATACTTTATTTTATTTTATTTTATAAATATTTATTAAAATTTTCACAATGTTACAAAATGAAAAAAGAAAAAGAAGAAAAAATACAGAATAAAAATAATTAAAAACAATTCAATCTTTCTATCATTTATCTTTCATTTACTTGTTTCCCGGACCTCCTCATACCTCCCTTTTTTGTATTCCAGTTCAATTTGTTAGTTCAGCAGTTCCTTTCCCTCCTTAATTCATCCTGATCTTTAATCTTAAATATATTATAACATTAAATTTTTACCTGTTAAAAATCCATTTTTTCATATTCTTTTATACCATTACAGCTAGAAACCACTTAACTTCAATCCAACATCATTCTAACATTCATTGATTTTGCAGTATTTCTGTAAATAGTCCTTAAATCCTAGTCCAATACTTTAACCACTCCACAGCACTGCCTCTGATAAATGTGGTGCCCTTTCACAACACCCAACATCAGCAGCCTAAGACAGCACTGCTACTCTGAAGGCCATGTTACAGATTGCAAAGGAGATCCACAACAGGATTTCCTGATATGTTTATTTTTATATTAAAAGCAGCTGAGGAAGGTTTCCAAACAAAAAATAGAGCCATGGCCCTTGGAAGAGGGTGCTTTTCCTTGGTCTAATGAAGCTTCTAAATTATTGCTATCTTTGGGTGGGATTCAATCCCATACCAGCAAATTCGGATTGTGAAATAGTTGATTGTGAGTTCTTGCACAACCTGGAACAACCGTGAAACTTGTAGATGTGGGTGGATACATTCATTTCTGAGAGGGATGCAAAGCTTTTTATGTCAGTCAGAGTTACAATATGCTTAATCAAGCATTAATAGATCACATTCCAACAGGATCCAGGAAGTGTTGGGGATCCAGGAAGTGATTCTCAACAGCTTCCTGAGCCTGGACCGCTTGCAATAACTGCAGTTGGTCACAGTGGGCAGCGCAGAACTAGCCTTGCTCAGTCAAGCACAAAGTAATGCAGTAAGTGTTCACTAGGATCACACTGATACCAACTAACAGTTGCCTGTTTCCTCCCACCAAAACATTTACTCCCTGACTACGGTATATACATTGCTCTCAGTTTACATGCAATTCTTGGGAGATCTATTTCAATTAAAACCCTCAAAGCTTTCTTTTTCTTTCTTTCCTGGCAATGGTGTTTCTGTGTATTGTTGTAGTCAACGAATTCTTGGAAATAAAGGAAAGAGCTTCTGCAGCATGTGAGAGCAACCAATCCAAATTTTAAAAGGAGGAGGCAGAACAATATCCTGGTTTTGTCGCTGAAAAGATCTTCTTCATAAAGAGACATAGAGGAATAAATGTTTATATAAGACTCTTAATTTTATGAGACTAGATCCTTGCCAGATGACTATATCCATGCTACTGTTGGGGTCAGTAGTGTAATAGCAAATTCAGAAGTGCAGGATCCCTTCATGACAGTCACAGCCACACAATAATTATAATATTTAGGGATGCATTGCAACGATCAATGCAGATCTTCATGTGTTGCCTTTCAGCTAGATCTACTATTTTCTGTGTACATACATGGGCAAATGATTTGGAGTGCTCCAACATATTCTGTCAGAGTGACTTAAGTTGTGTTTCCCGTGAAGTTCCATTGTATTTAACAGAATTTGTACCCCATTCTCTTGAAACCTTGTGTTTCCATTATTCCCAAATGCTTCCCATTGGAGCATGCAGAATAACAACTCCTCAATCTTCCTCCTGTGCACTTCTCCTCAGTGGCTGACCCACCTCCTTTCACTCTGATTGTCTCCAACCATAACAAAGGCTGATAAAACTTCTTCTCAGTGCCTTATGATGATTGGGTGCCTCTAGGCCACTGGAGACCCTGCTGCAGAAATATTAACAGGTGACCCTACACCACAACACCTCTTGTTGATGTGTATCATCTCTGCCTAGTGACCCTTACACAATGTGCAAAGTACAGGCTGTAGCAGAAATTCTGAAAGAGAGCCTTGCAGTGTTTGGGGCAACTGAAGGGCCTCATTATTATTATTTTTGCTATAAATCAAGCCAAATTCTAATGGGGAAAGTCTTGTGCTGCCTGTGAAATTAAACAGCACGTCATGTTCCTGAGGGTTTGCGAACAAGCACTATGTGCTGTTTCAAATGTTTTCCTCATTTTATTCTAGAGAGGAGAAGTTCTTATTTTGGATGCCTGCAGTTTCTTGAGTGGGTGCATTTGCCCTAGCTGTCCCTATTGACCCTGGGCACTGCCTATTTTCTGGTTTCTCTCCCTGGTGAAAAAAAGTACTATCCCTAGGTCGTATGCAACTAAGTACTATTCAGAGTAAATCCATTGAAATTTATGTACCCAAGATACTGATGCTTATTCATTTCAGCAGGTCTACCCTGAGTAGGATTTAACAAGGGCTACAATCTTTTTTTTTGTTTTTTGGGGAAAGGGTGGCTAGTGGTTTTAGTGTAAAGAGGATAGCATTGAGGAACCTCCTCCAACTGGAAGGCCAGATCTGTACCTGCCCTACCTCCATGGACCAAATGGGAGGCACATTCACCTGACAGCTCAATGGCACCAGGGAATGAGGCTCTTTGAAGGCACAATCCCAGCATGCCTTCATGGAGGGTTGGTCCAAGAGCAGAACGTGGCTTCCATTGCAACAACTCCTAAAATCAAAATTTAGCTGGGGATAGATAGATCATTCTCTTTCCATGCCATTTCCACATTAATATGCCATTTTAAAAATCTGCATAAAAATCATATTAAGGTACTTCTCTTTAAAAAGCTGTGTACAAATTCATATTAAGGTATTTAAATATATATAATTGCAAAAGATGCATTTAAATATATTTTTATCTGGATGTATGCATTTTTAAATGTATGTATTTTCGCCTAAAATATTTAAATTGAATTTTAAAAGAAGAAGTTAAGTTTAAAAATCTTAAGTTGTCACAGCAGCCAATAAAGAAATAAAGGATACTACTATGTCAGAGGTTTTCAAGCTTTTTGAGTGCACGGCTCCCTTGACCAACTTCATTCTTTCTACAGCACCCCTGTCGGGCTCAGGAGCCCAGTTATGTCACCCCATGCCTTCCAAACTAGCAGTCTCGCACCCTTTTTCAAACACCCTCCCTTGTGGAGTGTTTCCCCAG